GCACATCCAGAAGATTCTCATGGCTTTGCCTGCTCTCCTTGTGGCCCTGTCCATCCAGCCACAGATCTTTGGCCCGGGGTTGGGATTCTGACCCAACGCAGAGCCAATCGAAGACCTTCTCAGGAGTTTCTGAACTTGAGATCAAAAAGAGCATCGGGCAGTTCTTGATGGGGGCAACTGTAAGATGCAGCCTTGGGACTTCCGCGAGTCAGGTTTCCTTCTGCAGGAGACAGCCAAGCATCGGTGAAAGAATAAAACAACCCAACAAAAAAAGCAAGCCTGATGGAATAGTACTCAGCAATAGAAGGGAATGAACTACAGATACACACAGCAACATGAGTCAGTCTGAGTGAAAAACATCAGACAAAAATAAGTACAAGCTGGATGATTCCATTCATATAAGACTCTTGAAAATGCAAACTTATGTATAAGGACAGAAATCCAATCAGTCACTGCTGGGAAGGAAGGAGAGAAGAGGTGAGGCAGGCCGGGAAGGAAGAAATTGCAAAAAGGCCCCGGGGGAAATTTGGGGAGTGATGGCTATGTTTACTGCCTTTTCTTGACTGGGGTGATGGTTTCGTGAGTATGCACATGTTTCAAAACATCACGTCATACACTTTCAGTACACACAGTTCCGTTTTGTCACATTGAGTTAATGATACCTCAACAAAGCTATTTTTAAAAAAACAGTGATGGAGGGAAGGAGAAATGAACACAGAGAGAAGCAGAAATGAGGGGTGTGAGTGGAGGAGGGAGGGAGGGTGAGTGCAAGAGAGAACTTAGGTTGCATTTGTTCTCTAGTTCTAAGTGCCCTGCTGCATTCCTTGTTTGGTATCTTAACCCAAACTTGGATTCTGAGGTATTTACACACAGACACACTGACACACACACAGACACACACACAATTATATATATTCTGAGGAATCTATATATGTGAGTATATATGTGTGTGTGTGTGTGTGTGTGTGTGCGTGTGTGTGTGTGTGTATTTCTTTTTTTAGAGAAAAGTCTTTGTGTACTGCCTAAACGAGGGGTCCCCAACTCCTGGGTTGCAGACCAATACTGTTTGTTGTCTGCTAAGAACAGGGTTGCAGAGCAGGAGGTGAGCGGCAGTGAGTGGCGCTCCGTCAGCTGTCAGATTAGTGGCGGCATACGATTTGCATGGGAGCAGGAACTTTATTGTGAACTGCACATGCAAGGGATCCAGGTTGTATGCTCCTTATGAGAGTCTAATGCCCGATGATCCCCCCACCCCAACCCTGTCCATCCGTGGAAAAACTGTCTTCCATGAAACTGGTCCCTGATGGCAAAAAGGTTGGGGACCACAGGTCTAGACTAAACTTGATCTCCTGGGCTTAAGAGATCCTCCTGCCTTAGCCTCCCGAGTAGCTGGGACTACAGGCCCATGACCCTGTGCCCGGTTTACTGAAGATAGTGTATTTGCCATTTTGCCTAAACTGAGTTTCTGTGCTTTGCAGTCAAAATGATAGGCCCGTACTCACTCCCTTCCCAAGAAAGAACCCTGGGAGTCCATTCTGACTTTTTTTCTTCCTTGTCTCTACCCCCAGTTTATCGCCAAGTGCAACCAGTTTGACCTCCAAATATTTTTTGCATTTTCTCTCTCCCATCCAGAAAAGCTGAGAGGCCAGGCTTCCCTCCATCCTCCTCTACTCAGACTCTTTTTTTTTTTTTTT